AAGCATCCTAATTTGAATATGTTCCTGGGAGGCCAAATAGGGCTGCCTCAGCAAAGAAACTGGGACTGAGAACCAGTGAGGTGCAGGGGAGGTAGGTGAGACAGGTCAGGTGCTAGCTCAGTCTAACCATATGCAGTCCAGGGACAATTAGGAATGGCTGGCCAGAGACTGAGACAATGACCTAGAGGGGCACTGAAATTTAAACAAGGAGCCTGAGGGAGAGATGAGTGGTCCAGAGCGGGAGCAATAGGCCAGGTGTGTGGGGGAGATGACGGTAGGGGTCAGTCTGGTTCATGGTTGTGGAAAAGGAACAGAGTCAGTGCTCACTCGAGCACATGCCACTCCAGAGCCTGGAACAGAACCCAAGATGTTTTAGTCCCACCTTTCCTTTGCTGTCATCAAACCTGTGAAAACCACTGCCAAATAGTGTCCCATCTCCCTCTAAGACTGGTCCACACGGCGTATCATGATACGTCCACACAAAGGGGCTGAATTAAGGTTGAAAAGGCAACCTTAATTCTGATATTTCCTAGCTTTTGAGTGCTTGCCTGCGTGACTGCTCATTGTTTTTAAAGTTACAGATTAACACAAATGCCCCCTGAGACTTTTAACATTATTAATGTTATTTTAACATTATTTGTGTGTGTGTGTGTGTGTGTGTGTAATAGGTCTAAGAGTATTTAACAAGAGAAGAGAATATTTTGTAGGGAGAAGTTTTATCAGCACAGGTTTGAAAGTATGGTATTACTTATGTGGCATATGTAATATTAGAAACATCTAACATTATATGAATACAGTTCTGAATATGATAATGTCATGCTTCTAAGCATAGATCTCTTGAAAGCTAGAGGCAATTACTAATTTGCTCTGAGAATAATACATATTGTAAATGAAACAATGAATTCATACAACTGTAGCTCTTTATGGTAATGTGTTGATTTGTAATTTGGCTCCTGAGACACTAAGGTCTTAATATCACTGAACTTGATGTATACTAGAGCTAATCCAGACATAATGTGGATTTAAAAGAAAACATTTTAAAAAAATTGAAATTCAAAACATTTCGACGAGATCTTCTGTTCTCCAAAAACAATGGGCAATATGAAAATGTGAAGATATTTTCTATTTTTGTTAATTTTGAAATTTCATAAAAAAATTGCAATTTGAAAACATTCAACCAGGTCTGCTATATACACATAAACATACACTATTGGATTATTACATAAAATAATCCCAGTGGAGAAAAGTGTATTATATTTGTCAAAACTGTGACCTCGTTTATCAAATGAAGAGGGGGAAAATAGCATCCTTAATCTACTAGAGCCTTTAATCTTTGCTTGGTCAGGCTTCAGCTGATAATATTTGTCTTCATATGGCCAATATGTCTTTAGTTTTACACTCAATATAGTTTTACACTCAATATGCTTCTGGAAAAACCAGTCTTCAAGCCCTTACTTACACGGGTAGTCCCTAGGATTCACAGGATTACTTGGGTAAGGATTTGAATTATCACACTGCAGAAGACACATTTAGGAGAAGATAATATCTCTTTAAGAGACTAATATTCATCTAACAAAAGATGGAAACATTTAGCCCAGCAAAACAAATTGATTTTGTGGATTTCATGTGCAACGCTTGTACTTAAAACTTTCTAATTATTTGAAAAAAATCCACAAAAAAGGAGAAAAAAAACATATAGTGTCTTTGAAACAAAGATGCACTAGAGAAGAAAGTCAGGATTTATTTATGGAATCACAGCTGCATAAACAATGTTTCACTATAAGAACCCAATTTATAGGATTTGTCATAAAAAGTAAACACTTTGGAGGCTGCTTTTATCATACGGCATTGTACTGTGTGATGATGCAAGCCGGCAGGCACAACAATAGATCAGCAGAGGCAGCTTTCTCATGCTATTCTGGGGCAGCAAATTCTTTTGAAATTCAAAGGCTTTATGGTTCTTATTTCAGAAGCAGGACCTGACATTTAGAGCCATTCACTCTTAGTTCTGAATTTGGTCTACTGCTTAGAAACTGACACACTCCATGCAGCTGGCTGAGTTTGACATATGAGAAGAGTGGATGATCTGCAACTAAAATAAACTTCAATGCCAATTTACAGTGGGCTGTTTGACATGGAAAAAGCCTTACAGATTGTTGAGTCCATTGCAATTGAGAGCAGGCTGTGGTTCTCAAAATAGGATATGTCGATTACTATTAGTTTTTATTACACGTTACCATAATTAATGCATCATTAAATAACTCCCTGATCTTCAGACTTGCCTAAGCATAACTTTGCACACATGTATAAGCCCACTGATCTACGTACTCCTCTGAGGAAAGTTAAGCCTGTGTTTACAGGTCTGGGGCTTAAGGAACCATTGCTCTCCAATTCTGTTAGGCAAGCATTTTGAAAGAAAAATTAATCCCCTGCCCCAGTGAGGGTTAGCTTTTATGTGAATATTTTAATCAAATTTAAATTAAAGTATCCCAGAGCCTTTTAAATTTCTAGAGCCCTGAAATTTTCAAAGAATTTAACAGTGTTTCTTTTTAATGACCTTGACCCCAAAAATTCATTTGAAATGAGAATGCTTCAGGAAAGAAGTGTCCTGGAAATTTTCAACATACGCAATGCTGCCTGCAATAGGACACTTAACTACTCTTTAAATACACTATATCTTAACTTCTATTGCTTGATTGTTTCTTAGGAGTTTGAAAAGGAATTTGTCCCAAATAACTTTGTTCTTTTCCATTTGGTCCACATCAGATGTAAAGGCATGAGGGTAAGTGGACAAATGGAACAAAAATCAACATGGTTGCTCTTGTTTAGTTCCTCATTTGTGTGCACAGTCTACATTGTTTATGTCAGCACAATATTGTGATTATCCTGATCCTATGATGACAATGCGAGTTTTGTCAGTGACATAACAAAAAGGCCAGAACTTCACCAGATGTGCGCTGTACACACAAAATGTAAGTTTTGCCTTTAATTTGCTTTTTATGGAAAAGAATAGAAACACCTCTGTCCAACTCTATACACTCCCTTCTAGAGTTTGTAACCAAACACTGTAGAACTGTAATCTGGTCAGAAACAACCATACTACCACAATAAATGAAACTGATCACTGGGAAGGAAATGGGTGAGTATTAATCCTCAAGAGTTAATGCTCATCAAAGCAGCCTTGTTCCCACAGCTAATACTACATCAATATGGAGGAGACAGATTGATAGTACCAGTGTGGCTTCTCAGATAACTGGGCTGACATGGAGGAGAGGTGGGGGAAACCACAGAGCACAAGATAGGGCAGAGACACACAGAACCCAACAACCTCTGTTCTGCAGGATGGAGAGCAGAGCTTTAGGAGATGTCTCCATGGGCTTTGTCTCACCGCATGTCCTAAGCCCTCATGGTCCCCTCTCACAGAACGGGGACAATAATAACAAAATGTATTCACTGTATCACTATAATACATATAAAGCGATATCTAACACACCATGATATTAATACAGGGCACACAGAACTATAATACATTGTTTGCTTTGCAGGTCACCTTAGGAATGTTAAGTGCGTGTATTTTTGTACCTGTGTAACCGCTGAAATTTTCAGTAGTTACATGCTTACACACAAGGGGAGGAGGTGGGCGCCGGTGCTCATGGGGAGCCAGATTTTAAGCTGGCTCTCCTCATGTACCAGCTCCCGACTACTCCTCCCCCCACACTGCTGCCTCAGTGCGGGGGGCAGGCAGCTCAGGAGTCAGCACATGCGTGGAGCCAGCTTAAAAGTTGGCTCCCCATGTGCACCAGCTCCCGCCTTCCTCCATACTGCTATCTCTGATGCAGAGGCAGCAGCATGGGGACTAGGGGAGATGCGCATAATTGTGAGAGTTAATTGATGAGCCCAAGCTTGTCAGTTAACCGTATATACACGCACACATTCACATCCCTACTTCAAACTTAGCATTACGTCTACCTGACAATCCCAATATTCAACAAGGCGCATTGAAGGGGTGGTCGCTGCCACAAATATGTCCCTCCCTCCATTTTTCTTAAAGGAACTCATTCATGAGGAAGGAACTCATTCATGAGCAAGACACGCCAAGGCTTTTTAAAAAATATTTCTGCTTTGGCAATACATTTTCACGAGTTTTCTTCCAATTTATAAACTAACTAGAAGATTTACCTGGCATTGCTCTGGTCTTTAACTCAATTAACTGCCTCTTTTTTGTATGGGTTTCTGAGAAGCAGTCCCATTCCAGGGACATCCCATTTTCCTGGCCTAATCAAACCTTTACCCTTGCTTTAAGTTATGGTAACAGGAAGCTACATACCACATTTTGGTGATCCTAGCTCTTACTGTTTAGGAGGCATTCTTGAACAGACAGACTCTCTCAAATATATAGTAGATACTGCACCTACTGGATTAGACAAAGCTTCCTTCTAAAGCAAAGGTCTGCATTCAAACTAACACCACCAAACAAGAATTTTTATAAAGGAAGGGTTGAGAGAGTCATCATTATAGCTGTGAGACCAGCATCAGTGTAGTTTTAAAGGGGTCTGATGTGATGGAAAATATGGCAAATCAAGCAGTATATAGAGTAACATGCAGAAAGTATTCAGCTGATGATCATACATGAGTGAGAAATCATGTGAAAATTCATTATTTTGGCACCGTGTAAAGAGACACTTTTCTACCTCATGCTCTCCTCAGAATGCCTGCATCCTTACCCAGGATAAACATTTTCCTCTATCACATGCAGCTGAAGAAAGCAGCTCAGACCAGTTTTTCTCAACCTTTTTTTTTAATATAAAGTACCCCATTTAAAAAAATTATAAGTACCCCCACTACCTATAAGTTTTAAGACACACAATTTTTTTCTACCATTGCAACACATTTGTTTAAACAACTTGATCATAGCTGGGTGGGCGATGAAATTTTTGGGTGTAAAAAGTACAAAAATAATAAAACACTGTAACACTTAAAACAAATTCAGTTTTCTCCAAATTTCAGTTGTGTTGACATACCCTCAGACTTCTCTTGTAGCACTGGTTGAGAAGCAGTAGCTCAGACTATGGAAACTTCTGGTTTAGCAATAGGTGAGCAGAGTGAGTGCTGCACAATCACAAGAGCTTGGTGAGTTTTGCAATACAATTTCCACAAATATATGTTTAAATCTTTGAATACATTGCTGTAGCCACACTTTGTGCCCCTTCTGTCTGTTTTCCATTATCATACATATGGTTGACTACTGAGGGCTTTTATTTATTTATTTTTAACAGTGATGCTACTGGGTCTAAATGTTTCCCCTTTTTTCTTAATTGGCAACCTTTCAGATTAGTTGTTTCTTTGTAGTAAAGGACACTACAGAGCATCTTTAAAAAAAATCAGTAAATACCATGCATACAACATGCCTTTTATGTTTTGTCCTTTTAATAAAATTACATTCTTAAGTACAGTGATTTGTCTCTGAAGTGTCAAATTAGAACAAAGAATCATCTGAGCATGTTTTCACTGGCAGTGATTCAGGTTAATAGAATTCCAAAGGTCCAGTCCTCTTCTCCACTACCATTATTTTTATTCATGGTGTCCTGATTTTAGGCGCCAACTCTATAGTCCTTGTTCATTTGGCACCCAATTCTGCAAGGTTCAGATCAACTCCTGATGCCCTCAATTCCCAACCATACTATTTTGACTCACATATTGGTGGGAGATAAAGGGTGCACAACACTTGACAGGATTGGGCTCTTGATTATGATGTCCTTACTCATGTGAAGTCAATGGGATCACTTGTACAAGCAGAGGCTGCAGAATCAACCTTTCAAATTGCACATAATTTTGGAGGCAATTCAGAGGTGCGGTTGTATCCCCATATCTAACAGATATTAGTTGTTCTTGTCTTTGCGGCTGTTTCACATCTCTGGGAGGTCTTGTAGGATTTGTCTCAGAGAAGCTTCAGCTATGGAATACAAATCGGAGGCAAAAACCGCAAGTGAATGAATCAGTTTCTCAACGATGGTCCTCAAACATAGGTGCGCTGCATGTAAGTCTCTGTCAAATCGCTGCCCCTCCCGCTGTAAAGCCAGATGACAGCAGATGTTTCTAAACTCAATGCTATCCTAAAAGTCAAACCAGAAAGAAATGAGTGACAAGTAATGCTTTAGCCACACACAGCACATTTTTCAAGGTGGAAACCTCTCATCTGAACTTTTGTCTCTTAGCTTTACACATTGCTGCAAACTGCCTTGGCGTGAAATATTGTGTCAGTTAGTTTTACTTACCTGCTTTTGTTATTAAAACCTCCCTTTCAATGAATCAATCATATAGGCATTTACCTCAAAAATACTTGCTTGTGATAACTGTCTCTGGTCTGATTTTATATACCCCGCAAACCCGAAAGACTCACTGGCCTCCCTGAACTTGCTTTGCTAGCATAATCCATGCCAGGATCTTGTGTCCACTAGGGAAAGGAATGATGTTGGACAACATGCTACTTAACATGTTCTAACTAAATAGCTTTGCATCTAGTGTAGATCATGCCAACCATGTTTTAAAAGTTAGGTGGACGTGGTTAACCTTAGGGGGATATTCACTAATGCTTTTTAAGCACAACTTATTTGTGTTCGCACCTGGTGCAAAGTAGTGTTTAACACTATGTAGGTTAGACATATTTGTTTTGTTACATAATGAATGTTCCAGACGTGCCTTAGGTGAATGTTGGTCTTTGTCCCCCTCTAGTAGCAGTTCCACAAAAGAGCTTCTTCTAGTTAATATACTTGGTCCTTTCTCTGAAATGGTAAAGGCTCATGCTTTTAGCTCTCTGAGACTTCAGTTCAGACTCTGCTGTCAGCCCGAAGTAGTTCTCCAAATGCAGGTTCAAGCACCTCATGAGCTAAGGTGATGTTATTTCAGATTAAAATCCTGTTAAAACTATACACAAATGGCTGCGTCTAGACTGGCAAGTTTTTCTGCAAAAGCAGCGGCTTTTGCAGAAACTTGCCAGCTGTCTACACCGGCCGCTTGAATTTCCGCAAGAACACTGACGATCTCAAGTAAGATTGTCAATGTTCCTGCGGAAATACTATGCTGCTCCCATTTGGGCAAAAGCCCTCTTGCGCAAATGCTTTTGCGCAAGAGGGCCAGTGTAGACAATGAAGTATTGTTTTGCACAAAAAAGCCCTGATCGCGAAAATGGCGATTGGGGCTTTCCTGCGCAAAACAGCGTCTAGATTGGCACAGACGCTTTTCCGCAAAAAGTGCTTTTGCGGAAAAGCATCCGTGCCAATCTAGATGCTCTTTTCCGCAAATACTTTTAACGGAAAAGTTTTTCTGTTAAAAGCATTTGCGGAAAAGAGCATCTAGATTGGCATGGATGCTTTTCTGCAAAAGCACTTTTTGCGGAAAAGCATTTGCAGAAAATCATGCCAGTCTAGACGTAGCCAAATGTGTTTAAGCCAGGCAGTATCTGCTACATTATGGGAATGTTAAAGGTGATCTGCAAGCAATACATCAAAAAGGAGTTAGCACTGAAATACATGCTGAATGGCCTCGCTATAGCAGGCAGGAATGGGTGATCGGCACAAACATAATACTAAACTAACCATTTAACCAATTTGGTCATAGACCCCCTAGAACTCTTCTGGCATGATTTGGAAGTCTGCTGCAAGTGAAGAGATTCCATCATTGTGAAACACCCCCCAACACAAGAAAACTGGAGAGTCCTGAGGTAAGACTCTAAGGGCATGTCTATTCTTACCAGAAGATTGATTCTCAAGTGGTTGATTTTCTGGCATTTGATTTAGCTGGTCTAACATAGACCCATAAATCAAACGCTGAGGGCAGCCCCCACCGGAGTCTGGTATTCCTCCTTTTGCAAGGAGTAAGGGAAGCAAACGTTCCCATCAACCTTCCACAGTGTAGATGCCGCCAAAGCTCATCTTAAAGTAAGCCAGTTCCGTACCTTAAGCTAACCTTCCTAGGGTATGTCTACACTACAAAGTTAATTCGAACTAACAGATGTTAGTTCGAATTAACTTTAATAGGCGCTACACATACAAACCGCTAGTTCGAACTTAATTCGAACTAGTGGAGCACTTAATTCGAACTAGGAAAACCTCATTCTACGCGGACTAATGCCTAGTTCAAATTAAGTAGTTCGAATTAAGGGCTGTGTAGCCACTTAATTCGAACTAGTTGGAGGCTTGCCCTCCCCAGCTTGCTCTGGTGGCCACTCTGGGTACCACCAGGGAAACTTATCTGCCCCCCTCCCGGCCCCGGGAACCCTTAAAGGGGCACGGTCTGGCTACGATTCCCGTGCCAGGTGCAAGCCTGCCAGCACCCAGCCAGCAGACCCTGCACCTGGCACAGAACGA